GAGGAGGAGCCTGGAAACATGCGTCACATTTCCGTCTTTGAGGGATGGAGACATGGATGAAATTGGGACGATAGATCTCAACTTGTGGTCGTGTTGTCGTGCTGAAGTAGTACCATAATAAATGTAGTCAAATAGTTTGTGTTTGTTTGAAGTTACTTGTTGACTTTTAATTTTTGAAAGTTCTCTTTGTTCTATTTTTAATCTTTTTTTTTATGTAAATTTTTAGTTTTCTTGGAATATCTATTGTCTAAAGTTTTGGTTTATTGATTTTGGTTCTATTTCTTTTCGAGGAGAGATAACAAACAACTTTAATTTATTTGTGGGACTACAAGGAAAAATGGAAGTAATAATATAATAATTTACAATGTAATCCGAATTTAATATCATATTAAACACCATATGAATTTCTAAGCTTATCGATTTATCAAGGCAAATTTGCACTTCTCACTCTCAACCTTAGTGAAATGTAACGATTCTATTCTCAATTCGTTTTACCAAAATCCATTTCCATCATTTTCATTATGTAGCAAAACTCGTTTTTTCCTACATTTTGTCCATTAATGATGAATTTTCCATTCTCTTCATATACATAAACATGAAAAAAACATTGAACTACAAAAATAGTAAAAATTGCAAATGGAATTCCATAACTTTCGAAAGTGCAAATAAATCATATTTAAAACAATTAAATGCAGGATTTCTCTTCTTGCTGTTTTTCGAAGAGTGGTGCTTACCCTCTTTCCTTTTTTGGTTTCTGTTTCGTGGGGGTTGTCGCTAACAATTAAAAGGGGATCAGATGATTGTGTAAGAAACAAATCTCTTGAGACAAAGTCTCAAAAAGGGGTGTTTTATTGGCGATGACTTTACAATTGGAACTTAAACAGAATGCCTCCAAGGGGCGCAAGCACACGAGTACTGCAAAGAAATGTTTTAAGTCTAAACTAAGGAATTGAAATTACATATTCTTTGTTTGAGAGTGTTTGATTCTGGGTTCTTTGCTCTATGTATTTTCTTCCTTTTATATTCTCTTGATGCTCTCTTTGTGATCAACCGCTTAGAAACTGCTTAATTGCTTTATAACTGCCCACTTTCTTCATGGTGGCCAACTTATCGTGGAACTGCCGTCTCTAAATGCTGCCACTACTCTTTGTCGTTCAACCGTCTTCAACTAAACTCCTTGAATCGTGGAACGTGATAAGATTACCTAATAACTGCTTCGATAACTACACTTTTGGATAACCATAATATCTTATATTTGCTAAGATCTTGGGCGATTCGAAGGTTTGGGCGAGAACAGGGTCATAACTCTGGGCGACTGCAAGGCACTTCATTCGCTCAGATCTTGGGCGTCTTGCAAGTTTGGGCAATGGTATTACCGCGTTCGTGGGCTTCCACTGCATTCATTAATAACCTTATTTGGGCATTTATCCTGAATTGCCCAGTTGGGCTTTATTCTTTGGGCTATTCGAATTGGGCTGCGCTTTTAGCGTGTCAACAATTACCCCCCAATATGGTAGAATTAATACCAATTATTAATTTTTGCCATATTCACTTTGTGTTTCCCAACAACATTTGAAATTTGCAAGAATTTCAATCATTATTTTCTTCTATAACCTGAAAAGGTGCGACGTTGCAAACCCTTATAACCCCTAAATACACGCCATTTTATCGCACTACTAAATCACGCATCATTTTTCTACGCTTCTCTCTCGCAATATTACTGTTCATCTTCTTGCTTCTCTGCTACGTTTCTCAAGCAAATTTTAACAAAACTTTATTTCGTTCCTAATGGCTGCTTCACAATCCCAATCTGGTGACTCTTTCAGTTTCGAAGACTTCCAGAAAATCCTCACTCGGCCATATATAACTCAGAACTTCCTTGCACCAGTTAATGCCGAACTCAATGAGTTCTATCTAGGTCCTTCATTCAACAACGCCGAGGCCATCGAATAAGTAGCGGTGGGCCAGTTGTTCCCTTGTACTCAAGGCCCTCTATTTCTGAACTCTTTGCCGCTGAGGCCGCTTCGCGAAAGAGGTATTCGCACTTAGCCTAAATTTGATGTTATTTTCCATAGATGGCATGCTCGCCTTGTGGGCCATGGTCCTCCCAAGGCAATTTTTGATAGCGCTAGGATTTCTGATTTGTTAGAAATCTCTCTTCAACCCCTTATTTTTGATCCAGCGCTTTTCCCTATTGCTTTAAGTTTTTGGTTCTCTGAGTATAATACTTTTGTTTTCCCTCTTGGTCCCATGTCCATTACTTTAAGGGATGTTGGGGCCCTAGTCAATCTGCCACCTTTGGGCGATACCATTTTCCCTGGTATTTTGATTTCTGGTGTCGCCCAAAATTTGACAAAAAGCTCACCGAGTCCTATTCAAGCCTGCAAAGCTGTTATAATCACTCGAGCGCTAAGCCTTCCCATGCTGAGCGTGTGGCCTTTATTCAGATTTGGCTTTGTAAATATATTCTGTGTGTGCCAAGCATGAAGCTTTCTATGAGCTATCTACCCATAGCGCACTAATTGGCGCGTGGTAGGCCTCTGAATTCGTGTTCTTTCTTTTTGGCCGCCCTCTATAAAGCCATGGCTACTCTTCAATTCCAATTGAAGAATGGTGCTTCTTTGGTTCACTCAAATGTGGTTGAGAGCCTATTTTTCATCATTTGGTACTCTATCCTTGTCCCTTTATTCTGCTAGCCATTATGGGCTAGCTATTGACCCACTGAGCCCTGTAACTATGTCCAGAAGGGACATCTTTTCATTCTTTTATACTTTGGATTCAATTCATTCTTTCTTCCTTTTCCTCCCTTTTTAACTCCAGATTATGTGCAACCCCCATCTACCCTGGACAGTGCGAGTACCTCTTTGCTCGTTTGGGTTCAATTTTTGATCGGGAGGGAGTTGTTCCAAGATATTTTGACTGGAAACAATGCCAAAATCGGGGTTGAAATATATGCTCCCTAATTTTTTGCTCGTCAACTTGGTTTTGGCCAAACTTGGCCTGTTCCCCCTTGTTATTCAAGAAATTTGATAGATCGCTTCCACACCATTAATAAGGCAGAGGCGAAAGTTATAAATGCTCGCAATATTCTTTTGACGAGTAATTTTTCATTTGCCCCCTTCAATCCTAGCCATGCTATCCATCCCCTTTTTGAACAACTCTGGCCATCAGTGCAGCGCAGATTGTTTGCAACTGATGCCAATCGCGCTTTCCATTCACAGGATCAGCCAGACATTTCTTCCACTTCTCCTGTTTTGGTCACCCCTGTGTGTATTAGGAGTCCTTCCTCTTCTACTCGTGCCAAACAGTCTATTCGTCCATCTACTTCTCTTCCCACCAAGCCTCTGTAGCTAAGAGTGCCCTAAGCCGCAAACAGCCAATCTCAGCATCTCCCATTTTGGAAGATGATGATGATGATGACACTCCTCTCATTGTCAGGAGAAAGGTAATTAAATTAGTTTACTTACAAACATACATTTCTATACTTGAAACTTTTCTATGTGCTGATGGTTTATTCGGATTTCTCAAAAATGCTCAGCCTCTCCTTTGAAGGCTTTGGTGTTGGCAGCTCCTGCTCCATCATCCTCTGCTGAGGCTGCTTCATCCAAACCAGCTGATGAAGGGACTACGCTTAAAGAGAAACTTTCAGTCCCGGAATCCTCATCACAACCAATGGATGAGTCACCTTCTTCCCAGGGCGTCAACCCCCAAAATGTTGAACCAGAAGGCAACACATTTTTTGATGTTTTACCTTTGCTTGTGCTATTGGTTTTTAATTTGTTGCTTTTTGAGTTCTGTAGATGCTCCCATGGGTTTGTCTGTTGTGGCAAAGTCTTCTCGCCCAGATAAGGGGAAGTCCTCACAAGTGGTGGAGTCACAGGTGGTAGACTTGACTGGGGATATGCCATCTCCCAAGATTGCTGATGAGGTAATCCTTGCCTCACTTTTACTTCCACTTTGTTTATTATAGTGAAAACATTCAATGTTGGCAATTTTCTTTGTAGGATGCTGATAAGATTGTGCGTTCCATCCAGGACTTGTTCACTTCCTGGGGGCAAGTCAAGACATCTCGCCCTGCTTCAACCGGTCGTCCTTCTGTTTCTTCAGAGAAAGATATGCAGTTCCTCAAGCAGTCGATATTTGAGTATGTGTCCTTTATGGATATGGACATCGGTCAGGCTAGTGCTGCCAAACATAAGGATAAGTTTGAGCATTTGAGTGCGAAGTTCGAGCAAGCACTGACACTTCCGTCGCTCAATCTTTCTGCTAATTTTAAAGCGACGTTGAAAGTTGTCCATTCCGAGATTCTCTCCTTGCTGGCCAAAAATGTTGAACCGAAGGCCAAAAGTACTCAATATCTTCGCGCTGTATCTGAAAGAGAGTCTTTGCTTCTGAAAATCAACAAAGCTGAGGACGAATTGAAAGAAATCTCTTCTGAAATTATGATTGAAGACTCTTTGATGACCAGTTTGGCTGCACAGATGAAGGAGCTTCAAGCAAGGATGGACGACTGCAAGGCGAGAATGGTTGCTAAAAAATGTAATGCCTCCCAAAGAATTGAGCGAACCAAGTCTTCGGTTGAGCAGTACAAGAAGTTGGAGGTTGATGATGATTTTGTGGCTGAATTGAATGTCACTTCTTCTCAGCAGAGAGAGGATTGGGGGAGACTTAGGGAAAGAATTCGTTTAGTCTGGGGTAAATTGTAATTAAGACGTCTAATGCCTTAACTTTTCTTTTTGTAACTTCGTATTAACTTTCCCCTTGTAACCTCGTACTGATGTCCATTGGTAATTCTGAACATACCAGCAGCCATTATCATTAATGAACGATTAATTTGTCTTCTTGTGTATTTATTGACGCTGTCTTTAATAGTCAACCCCCCAAACATTTAACTGCTTTATGCTAAGATTCACGCACATTTTCTCTGGGTATTTCTGTCTCTTTTTCCAAGATTTCGGGCCATTTGATTCTAGTTACTAGGCACGAATGTGGCTGTTCATATTCTGTCTCTTCACCTTCACGCATCTTTAAATGCACCTATACTCCACACTTGTCATTTTCATTTCCATTCTCTTCTTCAAAACCAATTTGCTGCCATTGTTTGGCATTTTGACAATCGATCCAAAACCTTCGTCTTCCATGGAAATGGATCATTTGATCCGTCCATTTTGCCATCCTTCTTGATGTCACCTTTGGTATGAGAGATATAGGAAATATTCTTTGGCCAGCAGCAAAGTTCTTCCCATCGTCTCCATGTTCCTTACAAGGAGTTCGATGATGGAAGACAATTTTGAAGACGCTTGCAAGCCACCTTGCTTGCTGAGAGTGCTTCTCAGCCTCCTTGCCGGTTATTGCAGCGATGCATTTAGGAAGGCGATGTGAGAGTGCTTCTTCTTCCTTTCTGCTTGCTGAGAGTGCTTTTCGGCCTCTCTGCTTGCCTTTGCAGCAGTGCGATCAGGATGGCAATCAATGCCAATTCACCCATTTACTCGACGATCGATCGGGAGATAAGTTTGCTCTTAATTTTAGCTTGTAGAGCATTTAGTATTTTGTATTTTGCAACTTTGTAATGAACGTTTGATAATAAAGGAATTTATTTGAACGTATTTTGCTCTGACCCTTTTTAATCTACGATCGTTTAACGTGATTTGATTACGCTTTTATTTGTTCACTTTCCTATAAGGAAGGAACATATTTTTTTTAAATATTTGCCATTAATGAACCTCATGTACTTGGTGCCGTCTAAATCTTCCAAATGATAGACTCCATTAGGCAACACATTATTTACTTTATGCGGTCCTTCCCAATTGGGCGACCACTTGCCATACTTTGGATCTTTGCTGTCCAAAGGGAGTATTGTTTTCCAAATCAATTTGTCCAGGCTGAACGACTTGGCTACAACTTTTTTATTATAAAATTTAGCCATTCTTCGTTTTTGAACTTGCAATCTATCTAGGACGTCCAACTCCAATAAGTTTTGAACTAGTGATTCGGTATACTCATCACTACTTAACTTATGTTGCAAACACACTCTGATCAATTGCACGTTGATTTTCATAGGCAAAACGGCCTCCTATCCATAAGTAAGTTGGAAATGAGTAATTTTGGCACTTGACCGAGGTGACGTCCTATAAGCCCATAAGGCCTTGTTTAGACATTCGTGCCAATTTCTGGCATTTGTGTCTATTATTTTTCTTATGATATTTTTTAGAATCTTATTAGAAGATTTTGCTTGTCCGTTGGATTGAGCGTAATATGGTGTGAAATTCACTAATTTAACTCCAAACTCGCCCAAGAATTTATTCACTTGATCCCCATTTAAAGATGTTCCGTGATCTACCATCAAAATTTGTGAAATTCCAAATCTATAAATGATGTGATCACGGATAAATTCTATGACATTCTTTTGGGTGATCTCCTTTAAAGAATCGCTTCTACCCACTTAGTGAAATAATCAGTTGCAACTATAACAAAGATCTATTGCTTGGATGATGGGGGATAAATCTTCCCTATCAGGTCTATCACCCAACCCTTAAATGACCAATGTTTGATAATAGGTGCCATCTCTCGTGCTGGCGCCGCTAGACAACTCTTTGCATACTGAACGCATGATTCTCCCATCTTTGGCCAAAAATATCCATTCCTAATAATTAACCATCTCATCCTTTGGCCAGCTTGATGAGCTCCACATATCCCTTCGTGCACTTCAGCCATGATCGTCCTGACTTCTTGCAAACTTACACATTTTAGCAATATACCATCATAGCGTTTCTTAAACAACTCTTCATCTATCAGTGTATAGTTTAGCAAACGCAACTTCATTTTTCTACTATCTCCTTTATTAGGTTCTTTAAGGAACCTTTGAATCTCTGCCCTCAAATCTATTGCATCTCCATCTTGTATGCAATGAATTTCAATCGTTCTCGCCCTTCTTTGGATCACAGGCAATATTGTTCCATACTCACAAGTAGACTTCCAATTTAAAACATTTGAGTACCCCGAGGCTATCTGGGCCAATTCGTTCGCTACGTCATTATATATCCTACTAACATATTGAAGCTCTATTTGGTCGAATTCTTCCAACAACTCTTGGGCGATTTCATACTGACTATAATGGAATAACTTTGGCATTTAAAATCACCAATCAATTGGTGAATTACCAATTGAGAATCGCCTCTAATGATCACATTCTTTACCCCCATATCTATCATTAATTCTAGGCCCACGATTAAGGCTTCATATTCGGCCTGATTGTCGGTGCACATCCTGTTCAAAGTGAATGCGAACTTGTAACAAATCCCTAAAGGATTTATCAATGCTACTCCTACTCCTGCACCTTTAGAGGTTTTCGATCCATCGAAATATAAAACCCAAAGTTTTAATTCGAATGAATTGATCTCTAACTCAATTTCTTTAGGTATGTCAAGGCATGGATGATCGGCCAGAAAGTTAGTCAAAGCTTGATTTTTGACTGCCTTTTGGGGTATGTATTGTACTTCGAATTCTAATAAAGCTAATGTCCAAAGGCCTACCTTTTGGTGCAAAATAGGGCGAGAGAATATATACTTAACAAAATTTACTTTAGAAATTAAATAAACGGTTACAGGTCGTAAATAAACCCTTAATTTTTTACATGTGAAATACAATGCAAGATATAATTTTTCAATGGCAGAATAATTATATTCACATTTTGTTAACCGTCTACTCAAATAGTAAATCGCCATTTTTCACCAAATTGGTCTTCCTGCGCGACCATTCTAGCTATTAATTCTTTTTCAGCCGATACGTACACTTTCATTGGCCGTCCTTGAATTGGTGACACCAACACTGGTGGACTTGATAAATATGTCGTTAGGCTTTCAAAAACCTTTTGATGTTCTTCTTTCCAGACGAATTCGTCCTGATTTTTCAACTTTAAAAGCGGCGAAAAAGCTTTAGTTCACCCTGCACAGTTAGAAATAAAGCGTCTTAAACAATTTACTTGGCCTAGAAACCTTTGCAATTCTTTTTTGTTGTTAGGTGATTTAGCCTCTAAAATGGCCTTCGCTTTATTTTTATCAAGTTCAATTCCCCTTTTGTGTACTAAGAAACCAAGAAAATTTCCTGCATTAACACCAAATGCACATTTCAAGGGATTCAACTTTAGTTTATATTACTTCATTTGCTCAAATGAACATCTTAATTGTTCAAAATGGTCCTCTTCTTTAAGGGATTTGACCACTATATCATCTACATACACTTCAACAAACTTGTCTATCATATCATGAAAAATCAAATGCATTGCCCTTTGATAAGTTGCTCCTGCATTTTTTAGGCCGAAAGGTATAACTACCCATTCAAAACATCCTAGAGACCGAGGGCATCTAAAGGTAGTTTTGTGTATATCTTCCTCAACTATATAAATTTGATTGTATCTTGAATACCCATCCATGAAGAAATACATTACATGTCTGGCAGTCGAGTCTACTAAAGAATCTACCGTGGGCATTGGATATTCATTTTTAGGTGTGGCTATGTTTAGATTCCTAAAGTCTATGCACACCCTTAGTTTACCATTCTTTTTTAATACCGGCACGATATTGGACAACCATTCAACATATCTGGCCGTTCTAATAAAGTCTGCTTTTAATAATCGCTCTATCTCTTCCTTAATTTCAGGGAGTACATTAGGAGTGAAACGCCTAGAAGGTTGCCTATGAGGTTTAAAATTAGGCTTGGTTGGTAATCTATATTCCACCAAATCTCCATCTAAACCAGGCATATGTTCATATTCTCAAGCAAAACAATCTTTGTACTCCTTTAATAAAGCGATTAATTTATCTAACCTCTTGATCGAGCATTTGGCTGATGAACGTTGGGCGATCTTCTCCTTCATTGCCAATATTAACTTTAATCAGGGGGTCTTGTGCTTGAACGTATCCAGGTTTGGTGATCCTTATCACTTCGTCGTCTAGTTCCTTTGTAGGCACTTCTTCTTCTAAACAATCTACCTTGTTGACTTCTCGGCCAATACTTTGTTCCAACTCGAACACTACCAATTTGTCTCTCAATGTTTTCAAGGCTGCTGCTTCTTTTGTCTTGTCCTTGCATTCTTTATTGAAAGCCATTAATTTGGCTTTGAAGGCTTGAATATCGGCAATTTGTCTTTGTTGCTTACAACTCATTTAAAACTCCTTGATTATTCTTTTGCCAATTACTAGCTCCTCTAGGGCCACTATATTTGGCCTCATCTGACTGAACATTTCAGTGAGTGCAACCATCGAAAATGGCTCTTCACTCTGCGCGACAATCTGAGTTTCTTCTCCATCTTGGACTACTCTGACATGTCCATAATTTCCTTCGTACATGAACATTTCCACTGAGTTTGCTTCTGTGACAAAAGGCCTATGATCGGCCTACACCACCTCTGCTTCGCCCTTGTCATTCCAAAAAACTAGGCATTGATGGAGCGATGAAGGTATACAACGACTTCTGTGTATCCAATATCTTCCTAATAACACATTGTAACTAGTGTGACCATCTATTACAAAGAAGACTGTGGTCCTAGTAGTTGTTCCTATAGTTATATCCAATGATATAACCCCTTTAGTTGAAGTTGCTCCTCCATTGAAACTTGTCAGGATGACTTTTGTTGGGATCATATCACCTTATGTCTTTATGAATTTCATCATCATCCTAGATGGAATGGTGTTTATAGCAGCTCCATTATTGACAAGCACTTTTGCCACAGGTATGTCGTTAACTAGAGCTTTAACGTACAATGGCCTCAAGTGTTTGATCAATTTCATGGCTGGTCGCTTAAAAATAACTTTTTTGGCAGCATCTATTTCCACTTCCTGCTTGTCCTCTGTCGAGTTACCCTTTTGTGATAAGTCAACGTGCAGCATATCGCACTGAGCCTCTGTCTCCTGAATTTCCTTTTTACTGTTTTCTAATGCTTCTTCTTCAGTTACCCAACCTGTGGGAGGAGGCATTATTCTTGGAGGTAATCCATACTTTTCAGAGCGAGACACTCTCTTCTTCCTTTTGGGCGTCCCGTATAGCACATAAAAAATCAAAAGAACGCCCAGATGGTTCTCCCAATAAGTCTACTTCACGAACTCCCTCTCAATGTAATTGCTTCAACAGAGTATTGTACGATACTCCCCTTCTTCTTCTTTCTGCTTCCAGATCGATTTCCTGTTCGATGTTTGTCATACCATCATCTTCTTCACCATTGTAGGCCTCTCTAGAAGTTTGGCCTTCTTCATATTCCAACATGCATACTTCTTCTTCGTTATCCTCCTTTTCTTCTTCTCCCTTCTCTTTATTCTTGAACTCATTGGCTAGTAAATAGTTATTAGCCACGACAGGAGACAACGTTCCAAACTGAATAGTAAGGGGCTGATCTGGATCTTCTCCATCCCTTTTGTCTTGCTCAAACTTCGACCTCCCAGAAGAAATCTCTGGCAATTCTTCCATAGGTTTGCCTGTACCAGTCTCTTCACTGTCTTTGAGAACATTTTGATTGGCTACCTCGAGTAGCCTAGATGCTTTAGGACATAGCATTCCCTGTTGTTACCTCATCATTTACCCATAATTCCGTTGAAAATGCCTCCGTTGGGTCCTAGTCATCTCGTTGAAAGGTATCGCCCTTCCAGCCTTATAGTGGAACGAATGCCATACATTTGGTTGGCGAGATTGCGGTCTGAATGTTCTCCCCTTATTTACTGGCCTGAACTGCCTCTCAAAAGGTGGTCCTTTATAGAAAGATGTACCTCGCCCTCTACCAGGCTGAGCGTTTGGGAAAAAACTAGGGCGATGGTGATGCTGCCATATCCCTAGTTTCTCTGCATTTGCACTCACTTCTTCTTTGCATCTTGCACATAGGACGTCTTCGTCCTTTTTGGGCTCCTTCCCTTTGATATGTTCAAAGACACTGGGATGTGGTCCATGGTCTTCTTCTCCATCATCTATAACCAACTTGAATTTTGGCAACTTATTTTTGAAACCAGACGTCACCATGTTCACTCCAGTAGCTGTGGAAAAGGATTTTCATCCACTGCCATTTTCCTGTTATCCTCAAACGTAATTCGTCCTTTTTCAATGGCATCCTATAACACATAGCGAAAAATCAAACAGTTGTTAGTTAAATGTGACCGTGCATTATGCCACTTACAATATTTTTTACCTTTAATTTGTTCAGGGCTTGGCAATTTATGCTTATCGCTCAGCTTTATCTGCTTATCCTTATATAATTTATCAAATATAGGGTCATCTTTGGTTACATCGAACGAGAACGTTCTAGCCTTTATGTTTTCATCTATTATAGGCTCATCCTTGCCCAATGGCCTAGGCTTAGCCATTATAGGACAAGTATACGTGTCTCCTTTAACTAATTCGGCCAAACACATTTCGATTTGATCGTAATACTCGTCATTAATGGTATGAACATCAAAATTTGGATCTCTATAATAGGTCCTCTTGCTAGAATTTTTCATTTGTTCTTCATCTCTTATTAATCGTTCATACGTAATTACGTTCGCGCTCAATTGAAAAAGATCAGAAAATTCCTTGTCTTGGAACTTCTTCTTCAAATCAAAGTTTAGACAACCTTGAGCGATTTTGACAAACTCCTTTTCGGGCAAAGGTACAAAACATTTACTTCTTGCTGTCTTGAACCTTTGAAGAAAACCTTCTGCCCATTCGTTTGGCATTTGACGTAGATTTGCCAAATCGACCAAAGTAACTTCAGACTCAGTCTTATAAAACTGAGCGTGGAACAATTGCTCCAATTGTTGCCATGTTTGAACAGAGTTTGCCGACAAATTAATGAACCAGGAGAAGGCTACTCCTGTTAATGAACTAGAGAACAGCCTCATTTTATGGTAATCAGTTACGTCACCTCTTTGCAGTGTGAATCGCCATATGTGTTCTAGAGTAGACACCTCTCCTAAACCAGTAAACAGTGAGAATTCTGGCACTTTATACCCTCTAGGCCATGGATATGCTTGGTCTACCCAATCAGGATATGACTTTGTGTAAGTCGGCCTAATGACAGGACGTACTCCAAAAGCCATCGGTCCTGTACGATTTTCATAATCTGATTCCTCAACATGACATTGGAGTCATATGGAATTCCTACAGGTTGGTTGACCGGTTGATTTGCTTGAGGCCTGATGTTTAGTCCTTGATTGGCAACAAAGTTACCATGATTTGGGCCATTGTTACCATTAGCCTGAACATTTATTCCATCATTAACACATGGGGTGTTCTGCCCATTATTTAGGACATTATCTCTTACATTTAGGTTACCCCCAAGTTAGATGTACCAATGCCACTATTCTGATTTGGTATTACACCACCCCCTGGTTTGAAGTAGAGGGATCAAAAGGTGGTTCTACCCCTTGATTTAAACTTAGGACCGGGGGATTATGTCCCATAATTGTCCTGGTTTGAAAGTGGTTTGTAAGATGCACAACTAGCTGACAAATTTGGCCTACTAACTTATTCATTATTTCGTTCAAAGTATTCAGTTGTTTGGACATGTTGTCATAATGTGCATTCCCATTCTGGGTAAATCTTTCCATATTATGAATATTTCGTAAATTTACCTGTTCAACGACATCTTATGTGAGTTCTCCGAGTAATGCACGCATGGTTCAAGGACTCAACTCTGTCATTGGTTCGTAACGACTATGATTGCTCTGATTCTGTCCATCTGTTCGTGGAGAGCTATCCCGCTCCTCATATCACTCGATCACAGACGGGACTCCTCCCTAACTTGCTGCTTCCTTATCGTATTTCTGAGGCATATTGTTTCACCTTTTGTATCTTCAACACCAAACACCAAAGTCCGACTGGGCATGCCAAATTGTTTCGCGCGGGTTGTCGCTAACAATTAAAATGAGATCAGACGATTGTATAAGGAACAAACCTCTTGAGACAAAATCCCAAAAATGGGTGTTTTATTGGCGATGACTTTACAATTGGAACTTAAATAGAATGACTCCAAGGGGCGCAAGCACACGAGTACTGAAAAGAAATGTTTTAAGTCTAAACTAAGAAATTAAAATTACATATTTCTCTTTTTGAGAGTGTTTGATTCGGAGTTCTTTGCTCTATATTTTTTCTTCCTTTTATATTCCCTTGATGCTCTCTTTGTGATCAACCGCTTAAAAACTGCTTAGTTGCTTTATCATTGCCCACTTTCTTCATGGTGGCCAACTTATCGTGGAACTACCGTCTCTAAATGCTACTACTACTCTTTGTCGTTCAACCGTCTTTATCTGAACTCCTTGAATCGTGGAACGCGATAAGATTACCCAATAACTGCTTCGATAATTGCACTTTTGGATAACCATAATATCTTATGTTTACTAAGATCTTGGGTGATTCGAAGGTTTGGGTGAGAACAGGGTCATAACTCTGGGCGACTGCAAGGCACTTCATTCGCTCAGATCTTGGGCGTCTTGCAAGTTTGGATGATGATATTACCGCGTTCGTGGGCTTCCACTGCATTCATTAATAACCCTATTTGGGCCTTTATCCTGAATTGCCCAGTTGGGCTTCATTCTTTGGGCTATTCGAATTGGGCTGCGCTTTTAGCGTGTCAACAGTTTCTTTCTATTCCTTGTACTTCATGGACTCTAGAAGATTGGTCATTGTTATTCTCTTAACTGTTTAATCTGAATTCCTTTTCTACATAAAGATGTTGGTCTAAATCCTCAATGGATAGATCAACATCCATGTGCTTAATATTCTTTTTGTAATCTTTCCAAATAGAAAGGAGTTCATTAACGATGAAGGAGACTACAAACGATTATTCTATAATTTATGTTATGTTATTGAAATTGATTATAAATGTGAATTATTTCATGAAATGCCCCAATACACCACCCTATATTGATGAAATATAGAGGCTAGAAATTTCTTACTTTTGGCGTCTTCGAATATGTACTTAGCCTCCAACGCATCCCATATTTCATTTGCCGTCTTCTTGTCATGGTAATGATAAAAAAAAAAAAAAGTGGAATCAAGATGATATATATGCGAAGGCCGCATATGCAATGTGATGTCGGATGTGTTCATCAAATTTTCATCTTGCGTTTCTTTAGGCCTTGGTGTAGTGAGAACTGTTCGCTAAAATCATATACCGCAAGTGCATGGCTAGTGTGTAAGGAATAAAATGGATTTTGAGTCGAAGTCGATCCCTCAAAGAGTGTTTCTTCCAACCACATGCTATTTGATTTAATTTTAACCGTAACACACAGAATTTGATTTTGAAGTTAAAGGCGACAAGAAAATGATTTTGACATTCAATTAGAATACACAATACAACAAAGATAAGAATTTGGATTTTAATTAGGTTAGAATTCGTGATTCCACTTAACCGTCACTATATTGATTTCTCAACAAACAAATTAATAAAAACACTTACTTATCTTGTTAAAACTAATTTTCATAATTTAGTTAATTATCTCCCTCAAGTGAAATTAACCTTAATAAATTAGTTTAATCTATTATATCTCTATGTCGATTAAACACAATCAATGGCATTTATATGTGAAAGTGGCTCAAAGGATTACCTAGAATTAGAAGTATATTTCTGTTTCCTACAAGAACCTAGGGTTTTAGCATCTCGGACTATAAAATGTGCAAGAATTTCTCAATAATCGCATAAAGCACTTGACATAATCATATAGTGGCCACATTAATGATAATGCACTAAAAACAATGGTAAAAACACAAGAATATAAGCATTCATACATTAACAAGTAAATATAGAAATTAATATAGTTAGGTCAAGTTTTCTCATTCATCTCAACATCAAGATGTTTAGCCCATTGTAATTAAAAGGCACAAGTGAAAAGATTAAAGAAATATATCCCAAAAGTTTAGAAAGTATAATGTGACATACAAGACAAAGAAATAAACCCGTCCCTTGGTCGGATTCTAGAAACTTTATTAGTTTTGGTTTTGATTTCTCTAAGACTTACCTCCTTTTGTGTGATATTCTCTCCTTTTGTTTGCCCCCTTTTCTCTTTAAGCTAGGGTTTTTAAAAATGTGGAATAAAGAAAGGATGAAAATAATATTTAAAAAGTATAAAAACCATCCCAATCAAATTGCAAGAAGAGTCCCTGAAGAATATGCGCACAGGTCCTTCTTTTTAAACTTAGGCGCAAGTTTAGTCCATTGATTGCCCTTTGTTACTCAAAATTGGGGCTAAGGTGTGCGCCTGAGCTGCAGGTTTAGGCACATGCTTTAGCCATTTTTTTTCCTTTTATTCAGTTTGGTCCCTAAAAAATTGTACGCTTGGTCCTCCAACTTTGATTTTTTTCCAATTTGGTCCTTGAATTTTGAATTCCTTTTCAATCAAGTCCTTCATAATTTGAAACTCCTTGAACTTTCTGACTTGTACATTTAGCCCCCAAAGTCTTGATTTTTGTCCATTTTGGTCCTTTTTCCTTCCTTCAGCCTTTTCCTCCTCTACTTTTGGGATTTTAGCCTACAAAAGCCAGACAATTGTATACTGGAATTCACTCAATTTTATCAATAATTAGCTCGTTAAAGTACCTAATAAGTGTATAAAAACACACTTATCAAGAACATATACCACATTGAAGGTGGTGAGAGAAATGAAGCTTATCATGCAAACATAAAAAATTTGCCCTTTCGAACCTTTCCAACTTCATAAAATGAACTGCAAAATCCCACAGAAGACATGGTGGAGCCATTGCAACATACTTAAATATAGTCTTAAGATTATTGATGAAGATACTTCGTTCCAATGCCTTGAAATGATAACCAATAATTTTAGGGCACGTTATGACAATATCCTCAACATTATATTTTCCACTTACTAAAAGTGCACAAGGATCCAAATAAGTCTCCAAGATATAATGAATTCGAATAAATTGTTTGCTGACGTTTATGGGTTCTTGAAAATAAATCCAAACACCGAGATGATAAATTAATACAAGAGCCCTTATATTCAATTTCTGCAGTATAACAGAATATAAGGCTTGAATTTGTATGCAAAAGAATGATGACAAGTATGCAAGAAAAATATAGAATTAGGTCTATTACTTTTCCCATTTTCACATGTACAATCAAAGAAAACTTGAATTTATTTATAGATTCTTGCTACCCTTTCCCAAATATTATACCCAACATAGGTGTCTTTTAGATTTCAATTATAATAAAAATAAAAACTGAAAAAAATCGAATTTACAACCCTCAAAATCAGCAAAGGAATGAACATTCGCCATATAAGCCATTTGGCAGTGCGTGTGAGCAACCCATATGTGCTGCCATGCACTAAGGTCCATCACACCTGAATTTGACTGATTCTTAACAAAGTTGTGTATAGGAACTAAAAACTTACGGCTAAAATACAGGTAATGGACAAGTTTTTGAAATCAGTCAAATTTGACTAAACAAGTAATGGAATTATATTAGGCATATATATAAATATATGAATAAGATTCCATTGCTAAAGAATTGGGCTGATTCTTAACAAAGTTAAGTGTTTAAAAAAGAAATGCTGAGCCAATCAAAAGCTAGGGTTTGTAACTACTGGTTAGAAACGTATCCATTAGAGAACAAGAAAACGTGCACCAATGCAGTCCTTTCATTTTAGACTCTACTAACAATATTATAATCAAGATTAGAACATATTGGGAGCGTTAAAGTTTGGAGATTATT